CAGACACTCTAAACCAAGGCACAATGTACATTCCAAATTCCCTTAATTTTAAACATGTTTATATTGTCCATTCTGTAAAATAGTCAGACGTCTATTCATATTAATGTACAGTATTCACCTGCTTGCTGCTACTACTGCACATTCACCCAATGTATATACTATTATATATATATATATATAATGTTCTTCCTCTACCCCCCCCAATTTTTGCACATGTCGAGGAGCGTGTCAGGCTACATTTCACTGTGTGTTACACTTGTATAACTATGCATGTGACAAATAAAGAACCTTGAACTTGAACCTTGATTGTACCACCAATCTGAGCCTCATTAGCATAAAAGGAAGGTTTTGTAGGTATGAAGACAAACGTTTTCCTTCAGGGTCAGAGTGTTAGGTCAGAAACCTAGACAAAGTGTTTTTTTAACAGTAAATAGCCATTATTTTAAATGCCCTGTTAAAGAATGGCCTAGACCTGGAGCTGCACCCCATGGTCACTGATGTTCTTACAAGACTGGAGGCCCCGAGGACCAAAATGTAGTTCAAAGAAGTCTCTGAGAGAGCTGCTGTTCAGACAGAGGCAGCAGATATTAACATTCCTGATGTTATTCCAGGCCAAGCAAGGTAAAAAAAGAAATACCTGCAAAGTTAAAGGCACTGCTCTGCATCGGTGATTGAAGACTATCAGGCACACAGTCTGAAGGACCATAACTAAGGCAGCGTGTACTTCATTTATATGCTTGCATTAAAAAGTTCTATACGTGATTTGAAACGAAAGTAAAATAAAAACAGACAATTGTCACTCACAGATCTATCAAAGGATGCCACAGAAGAGCAAGCTATTATGGTACACTTATTTATCAGTTTTATGAATTTTAAGATGGGACATAGCTGCTCACTGAAATGGCTCTACATACACGAGCTCAGCATAGGTTTTGCAGATTTTGTTCAGGGTGTATCAAAAAGAACCATCTTATTTCAAAAGGCTATATTTCTTTTCAGCTTGGGGTAAATTTTAAAATACTTGGCTGAATATAAAGTGTTATATACAGAACTTAAGACGTTCACAAATGCTTAGTAGTAGTAGTAGTTATAGACTAAACTGAACTTAAGAATAGTGATTTTCAGTCTAACTTTTTCAAATTTTTGAAGCTTTTCAGCTTGACTTTTACTCCTTTTTTTCTTCGCCTTTTTTCCAGCTTTTGTATTTGCTTTAAACTACACTGAAAATGGACTGTGCAGTGCTTTTATGTTCTTATTGGCCACTCAGTTCAATTCAATTCAATTCAGTTCAATTCAATACAATTCAGTCTTATTTATATAGCGCCAAAACACAACAACAGTCGCCTCTAGGCACTTTATATTGTACAGTATATCCTATAATAATAGATGCAATCCAAGCACTCTACACTAAAAACAACACTTACCACTTTATCTACATCACATCACATTACATCCAAGACTGTTAACTTGGATTCAACAGTTAACCGAGCATGCATTGCATGTCTTTGGACTTTGAGAGGAAACCAGACAACCCAGACAAACCCCAGGCAACCACAGGGAGAGCATGCAAACTCCAAGATTTGAACCCAGAACCTTTCTCCTGTGTGACAGTATTAATCACTGCACCATCTTTTTTTGGCTACAAGTATGTTATTTAAACAGAGATAGACTTTATTAGTTACACACTGCTCAAATTCTGGGTAAATTACTGCAGCACAAGGGCCAGGTTAATTAATTATTTAGAACAGAATAAATTACAGATGTATTAGAAAAATTAAAAAAAATATATAATGTACAAATAAAAAGCCAGCATACTATACAAAACTACTCAGTGTGCTCTAAGTCGAGTTAGTCACTTCCTTTGTCCTTCACAGCCCTGGGTCAGGGTTGGCTTACGCCTCAAAACTTGCTGTGTTGGTTGTGTTTCCATAATGGGACATGTCAAAGTAATGCAACACAGGTTACTCTATGAACGCCTCCCACCTCATCTTCTCGCCATTTCACGTTCTCTCCTGAGAACATGTTTCACCCAAAATATCAACTGGGTTCATTTGTTAGATCAATAAAGCAGCAGGTGGCTTTGGGGTTATTTCACCAGGGAGTAAAGTGCACAGGTCCACTGGTTTAATGTTAGATCCAAGCCAGAAGGCAGATGGATTAATTCCCAAGCCAGATCACACAACCTTTCTGCTATAAAACACAACTCATTGTTTTCGCTGTCTGAAAGGACAAAGATGATGAGTTTCTGCTTTGATGGATTAAACAGATTTAGCAGGGTTGCTAAAATGCAATGCTCACAGAATCTAAACCACCATCCTCCACCTTTCTAAAAGCCAACACAAGCCGTTAGGCCATCCTGTTTCATTTTTTGTGACACAAGCTTTTTCTTTTCTTTTTCTTTTAGCCACAAACAGACTGATTTGTAACTGCAAAACTCTGCTCTGCATCTCCAAACCTATATGCAGATTGTCTTAATGCACTCACAAACTGGAAATTATTTGTGCAAATGTTATTCATTTATTCATTAAATGCTTTACACAGCTGCAGATCTCCTTTCAGATTCAAAAATTAAATCTATTTGTTCAGATATTTTTACATATTCACTGATTTAAATATTAAATGTTTTGGCACATTCGAATATAGTGATGCACAGCAACAATACTCTTGGCTGGAGTCTCCTCCCTCCATCTTTGAGTCATTGAGGGCATTCGGTGACGCATGCATTTCCCCTTTTTGATTCCCCTTCCTCTCTTCATGTTTGTGTGATAAAGTGAGTGTTGGGATGAGGATCCACTCAGCAGGCCTATAAGGCTTAGCTCAGTTATTAATGGAACTAACGAGCATCAGCCCAAATGAGCTTTTAATGGGCTCTCTCTACCTGCAGCTACAAAGAGAGGGATGGAGTGGAGGTGGTGGGGGGCAAAAAGATGGATGCAGAAAAGACAAGAAAGGGTGAGGTCAAAGTATTTAAGCAGAAAAATAGATAGGATCAGTTCATGTTAGATTCCAGTAGGGTGGCAGTTTTAATTAATGGTTAAACATTTATTTAACTCTGACTACAAGGTGGTTTGCCTAACTTTTACTGGCTTCAAAAAGTATTAGAGGTGAATCCCTGAAGGATGCCTTCCTTAGAGGAACCTTTCCAGACATTTCTGCTGATGACCTGTGTGGGTCCAGCTTCTATTATGGACAGGCATTTCATTATCACCTTAACTATTGCTTTTTGCCCTTTGTCAGCTGAGATAGGATCAGCCCCCCTCGTGACCCTATGCAGAATAAGCAGTTAATAAAATGGATGGATGGATTTCATTATTAATGGAAATGGTTCTTTTTTCATACCTGTGAAGGGATCATTGGTTTTAGTTCACTTTGGTACACTATCAAATTCAACTTAGGAACTTGAGACTCATTACTTCCTCCTCATAGCTTTTGCATAATAAAAGTTGGGTTGTTTTTTTTTTTTGCTTTTTCAAATTACTTCAGGTAAACTTGCCTCATGACCTCTAAATAATTTTAGGTCTGTCATTCATATGGTGAAGTCAGGCTCAGGCTACAGAACTTCTTCATTTAGGTATTAAATGCCAAGGTTCAGCAACATTGGCTCACAGTGAGAAAATCCCAAATTAAGTTCATTTTCCTGTTGCTTCACCCTTGACAATACAAAGGCTTAATGCTACAGTTGGTCTCTAGGCACTCCACAATAGCAGCTCTGAGAGCTTAAAAGAAATTGAATGTAGACCATATATTTCCATACAAGGTTCTTATCTGCATACCTGTGTGTAGTAAAAGCAAGTTTTCCAAGGCATAGCAATGAATTTTAAGGTGAATCACCTTACTATTTAATTCAGTAAAATCTTTGCAAATTCATTGAAAAGCAGGAATTACATTTTAAAGTCTGTCTTCTATTAGTCTAAAACAGGCTGTGAAGTCTGTAAAGAACATGGTCCAAATCCACACTAGAATTTCATGTCTTCACACTTTGGCCTTTCTTCTTTCTTTCTGTCAGGTTTCAAGAAAGGTGATCTTTTAGTTTCTGTGTAATCCTGATAGAAAAATGTGGCTGGTTGCTCATGGGAAATAACTGGTTTGATCCTTTAATAGTCAGTACTTGTATTTATCTGTTACAGCATTCTTGGTCCTGCCTTCGGCCTCACCATTAAAACATCAAAAAGCAGAAAATTTGTATTTTCTAGCAGGACAACTACCCACCAAGTTTACTGACAAATTGCATCCTTGAATAATCTTAGACTAATAGATTTCAAGAAAATGTGTTGTTTACTGCTTTGTTAAGTGTAGTAAAAGCTTGTTTTATTTATTCACATTTCTTTTTGCTTCATTTTCCACTGCAATACATTGCTACTTTTGTAGTTCCCTATAAATCCCAAAATGACTTTGGACAACTGCCAGAGAAGAGCTGCGAGAGATGTATGATTAGGCACAGATGTGAGTGCATACTGTTATAAGTCTAGCGACTGTTTTAACGCTCTTGCTGCTCAAATGTTGGTAAATTTAATGTGTTTAATTCATTCCATTGTATTTGGAATCAAAGATTTGGATTCGTCAGAAAAATGGGAAAGAGAAAATAATAGTTCGGTGATTGATGTGTTGACTGTGTATCTAACAAAGCAGTGCACTGAACTGTAAATCGACACTTGATTGATATCACTCCACTGTTCAGTCTGGGGTGAGGTTTGAATTTCTTCTCCATGGTCCAGTGGCATCATTACTCATTGCTGTGTGGCTGCAGCAGTCTCCACAGGTGTTTGATTGGTTTTTCAGAGAGGAATAACACTGAAGTAAATTTTTATGGTCTGTCTTTTGATATATATAAATGTAAACAGTTTAAAACTCCAAAAGACTAAATTTTTAACAATCTTCCTGCCATATCCTGCATTATGCTGATTTTCCTTTATGTTTTCTGTTGCTTTAAACTATCTGTCTTTGGCCACCGTGTTTAGTGTTGTGCTCTTACTTATACTCTTTGCCTTTTGTTCCTACAGAATGCCGTGATGTGTTGTTACCCCTGATGTTGCGGGAGCTGAGTGGGGCACTGGTCACAATGGCTGACGGCCCACACGATGAGAGGAAAAACAGTTTGGAGCTCCTCAACAACATCCTCGAGGTCCTCAGCAGGAACAATGTGGTGAGACACAACGCAACCATTTATATAAAACACTGATCTCATCTCTCATTTGTGGAGAGGATTAAGGGTACAGTTAATTTAATCTTTATGCAGCTGGTCTTTTCCCACACTTGTTGTTCTGTGTGACTTCGTATACAGCCAAGTCCCACAGCCACAAGCCATTACAGAGCTTTTTCTGTCTAGGTTGCTACTTGCTTCCCTGTTTTCTTGTTTCTTTCATTTTGATGATTTCTGTGTAATTGTAGCAAATATGCTGTAGCAATAATTACCCTTCATAACAGCAGTCCCAGTTTCCCACAGATACAATCAAATGTCAGTGGGAAACAAAAACCAGATCCTCATTTCACTCAAGTGACTTGACCTAATCTTTGGAACCATCAATAACTCCAGAGTTTATGTAGAGACAATAAACATATATCGAAAGGTGAAAGGTCAGGTAGAAATGTACAGTCTTCATTTATAGTAAAGATTGTTTTAGGCCAAGCAGACAGTTCAGCAGAAACTGATGAGACACTGAACCTACGGGGTATCATTTTGTCGGAAAATTCGTCTATCTTACCTCCATCATCTTTGCAGAAATGTGAGTGTAAAAATGATCCAGTCCACAAATTAGATGAAATTTCCTTTGTCTCTTTTTACTGGATCTCCTCGCTAATTGGATAAATTGAAACTAGCCCGGAGCTCTGTTTCATCCCAGTTGAATCTACAGAAAAACCATAAGCTATTTTGTCTCCAGCCATCCTCTCATGCAATGAAGCTAGCCTTGACCAATTAGAATTTATTCGATTTTGGTTCGCACGTGTTGCTGCATGTTTGTATGTTGAAACAAAATGCAGTTAGCTCTTTAGTTCAACACTTAATACTGTATAAACACGCAGACGCACACACACATACATAAATGTAAAACAAATAGATCACCAGCATCTAGCTCAAGGCTTTTTAATTGCTTCTGCAAGTTGTTGACAGCATGCCGAGTCTTTGAAGTGAAGGTATGCCTTTTTTGGCTCTATTTATTTGGATGAGCTAATGAAGCATGTGCCAGTGGAAGACAGATAGTGAGAGAAGAGAGCAAGTTAATGAATGAAGTGGAGTGGAGTGAATTTGATGAGATGAATTTGCGGTGGTTGAGATATGAAAACAAATGCAGGTGGTGACAGAGTGTTGAAAGGACATCACAAGTTGAAATTCGGTCTTGTCTGGATCACAAAACCAGTGACGCACAGCCTCATAGCGTTTTTCCATCAAACTACACAAGGACAAAAAAGTTTGCTATAGAATGACGTTATTATTTGAGGCTGAGCACTGTTTATGGGCATGCAGAGAGGCTGAACAAACAATATGAAAACAGAGGATTAACAACTAAACACACAGTGATTTCATAGATAATGTGTCAACCGTGTTTTACAATGAAAAAATAGTCATAGGAGACAGAAAACAGGTGCAAGATCTAAGAAAAACAACAGAAGTAGAGGAGGAAGAGGTGATAGGAGATGAGTTTTGCCTCCTCTCTACTTTTCTGCTCCTTGTCTCCTTTGTTTTTCACCCTTCTGTCTTCCTCGCTCTGGGTGGTACCTGATTAAATTGTCACACAACAGATGTCTTCGAACCAAAGAGAGGGGGAGAAATACAGGTTGAGGAGTGGAGATAGAAGAGAAGATGTCACTATAGACATATGCTCATATCTCTGGAAGAGTTCGCATTGAATGTATTCACAAGTAACTTTTGTATATGATAATGTTGCTTTTTTTCTGTTCTATAACGGCAAATCAGTGTTTTCAGTTTATATCTAGTTGCTCGGGGAGAAGATAAACCAGCTGGCTACAGTTGGAGATAAACAGAAATGAAACTTTAGAAGAAGAAAGGAGCATTTGTGACTCTCATCTTTCAGCTTCCTGTTCTGAGAAACCCTTTCCAGGGGACCAAAATACCTACAGTGAGCTAAAAAGATTTAAGCTTATTTAGGATCTACAGCTGTGCCTCAGTTTTACTATATGAGTGTGTGTGAGGTAGATGGAAATAGTATGCAAGATGACATACACACATTTAGACAGTTGTTTATTTTGTCTATGTCCTCTGGCTGTGAGTCAGCGCATTTCATGTGATACAATCATATCTACCTGATTCTCATCAGACCCTGCTGCCATCAGGCCATTGCACATGCACACAGCTGCACTGATAAAACTTTGAAGCAGACTTATTTAATTTTTTTACCTTCCTCTGTTATTTTTGTACCCTCCCTCTTCTTTTCATGCTTTGCTGAACGCCTCATACAGGAATATACACACAAAATAAACACACACGTACACAAACAAACTGACACACACACACACTGGGACTAACAAGGGCTTAAAAACACACACACACACAGATGCACCCTGCAGTATTAGTACTAAGGTGTGTCTGAATGTAGCCGATGCTTCATTGGTGAGTTACTACCCCCAGGCAAGTCTGAGTCAGCGTCCATTGACCGCCTTTACTGTGGCAGAGTGTGCTTGTGTGTGTCCCTGTTTTTCTTTTTTCCCTGTGCACATGCACTGGATCTATAATGAGATTAGATATTTTACATATACATATATGCTTTCAAGGGATGCGTTTTCCCTGTTTGGTATGCATTTCTCTTAACTTGCAGTCTGAAGGTTTTTTTCTGTACACAGTAATAGATGGGCATAGTTTCACTCTCCCATAAGCAAGCTTATGGGAGAATCTGGAAAGTACAGCAAGCTATACACGCATGCACACACACACACACACACACACACACACACACACACACACACACACACACACACACACACACACACGTGAACTAGTGAATGAGACTTAGCAAATGTCATTCGACTCCAGCTGCTTGTGTCAAGAACGTCTGTCAATCAACACAACCGCGCCCCTAACTCAATTATCCAGGTGGATGAGTTTTTAAAAAATGACCCCACTCAGAGTTGGTGTAAAGGAGGAAATATCCATAGAGGCCCAAACTGATTTTTTTATGTTTTTTTCAGGCTGTAAATATTCTTTTTAATGCTGCAAAGTTTGACTGGGAGTCTAGAGAAAGCATCGAGTTGCACTGCAGTTTTTGCTACTTCATTTCTTTTGCACTCATCATTAAAAATCACCCTCCAGAATGTATATATTTCATGAAGTGTATATAAAGTAAAATGTACACTGAGAGTTGAATAATTTGTGCTATCTGAAGTGCTTTTATGATAATATGTATAGATGTATAGATGTAAGGCTGTGTTTAAGTTAACTAATATTATTTTTCAAGGTCAGAAATGACCCTGCAAGTCCAGCTGCAGTTAGTCCACTGAATAAAGTAGGAACAAGACCAATTAAACGAGAGCTGACATTACTGTGACACTTTGAATCGAGTCAGTTTAATATTTAGGCTTTGAGCTTTTTGTTCTTTAAACCTGCAGACTTTCTCTAAGGTTTAAACAGGCATCTGACCTGAACAGGTCTGGGCACAGAGATTGACTCTTAAAAACATTTTATCCCCTTTGTTTAATTCTGGAAGGATAAAAGAAAAAGAAACATGGCAGGGGAGTGGCTTCAAAGGGAATGGAAATATAGGAATAGGAAAGTAGGTCTGCACTGAAAAAGTCTACATTCACGTGTCAAAAATCCTTTTGCAGTTCATTCATCTACACTGAGGATGATTAAGTAAATGTCCTGGTGAGGCATTTCAGAAAAGTTAAAAGACTTTAAACTTTTATATTCAGAAAACTTTTTTTCTCTTTCTTCAAGTGTTTGGTCCACCGTGCATTCAGAACCATAGCCATGACTTGTACTCTGCAATTCTGGCTGTTTTCACGCTCAGCATAGTTAATTCAAGGGCAGAACACCTACACAGATAAAATGCTCAAGTAATCTTAAGTTTTGTAAAGAGAAGAAGTTCTGGGGTATCCCCACAAGTAGTACTAAAGTTATGCCTGAGTGAATAATGTTTGAAAAGGGCAGGAGCTGCTCTGCATCTGTCTGTGTATCTATTTTTTTTCTTTTGATCTGAGAAAATCTAACAATCTCCTGTGTATCTCTGTGTTTTTCTCCATATCCCTCTCTCTGTGCTTCTCTTTCCCCTCCACCATACACCTATACTCTGACTTGCTATCAGGGGGACACCTTCCAACATATCCAAGACATTGTAGTATCTCTGCTACGGGTCATCAACCAGACAGTCATCACCATGGGTCGAGAGCACGCTCTGATTGTAAGTACTTTACAAGTAGGACATATGGTGGACTCTTTAAAACCTTCTGTCTTGCGTCCTTGACATATTTTCCCTGCTGATACCATGTTTATCAAAAAGGATTTGCAAGAAAGCACCTTAATTTACTCCGCTATGGTATTCAGTTTGTTTTTGAAACACAAAATATGTTGACAGCAGAGTATTTTGTTTAAAATACACAATTTTATTGCACATACAAGAGGGATCGTGAGGGCTCACACACTGTCATGGGAAAGCTTAAGAAAATGCAGGGACAGAGCATTTTGCGCATAAACTGGTTAATTACTAAGTGTAGTATCATCCAGGATTGTATTTGGTGGCAACTGTACAGCCATAAGCAGTTGAAGGACGCCCTTGTGAGATCAGTTGTTAAGCTCTAAACTGCTGTGAACAAAGCAGGTTGTGAATGCTCTGTGTGTGTGTGTCTGTGTGTACAAAATTAATGTCCAGATGAATGCTGTTTGCAAAAATTTCTGTTTATCTACCAGTTGTGCTATGCTTTTACAAATATATTGTTTCCCTTTGGGAAAAAAATCTTCAAAAACTCTTCACCCTTAGTGACTCATTTTGTATATTTTGTTAACCTAAATTTAAAGTTTAGCACTAATATTTGTTGATTAGGAGGGCAAGTGTGGCCTGAATGCTACAGAACACCTATATTATTGAAATGATTGTCTGATATATTTTACATGACTAAGTTGAAGTGTGCTGTTGGTATTAAGAAAGAGATTGAACCTTTTCAGGTTTTTTTAAATTAATTTTTCTGGTTATCTTCCTGTTCTCTAAAGCTTCACATTGTGTTGTACCAACACAGCACTCACCTGCACAATTTGTGCAATGGTAAATTTTGAAAAACAACAATTCATTGGTGCCTACTGTATACATTGTATATTGATACTCAACATTTAAACAGGCCAGTCATTAAAATGGATTGACAGGTCTGTTCTTAGTTTGCACTGGTTCACAAATGTATTGAGTGTTTACTGTGTGAGAGAGGAGTCAGTTGTTTGTATTTCAGTGAGTATGCTTTATGTGTAAACTGATGCCCGCTTGTCAATGCCACTAAGTGCATGCGTTCGAATGCACACGTGTGTAAAGATCCTTGAAACACAATTGAGACTGCAGCAAAACACTTCCATTTTGGATGATAATAAAGGAGAGAATCGATTACTCTGTCACTCAGGGTTGACAGAAATTTTAATTATCTGACAAAGGCTGTCAGTCTTCAATCAGCTGTGTATCACATTGTCTGTTAATGTATTCTTAATACAATCTGTACTTTCCCTGTGAAATCCTGATGACTCAGTGAGCAAGCTGTGTGTCCAGACAGTTCATCAGCTTGTTTTCCCATGATATCCTTCAAGTGCTTCAGTTGTTGCTACATTCAAATTATGTCTGTCCAGCCATCCAAAAACATAGCATTCAAATTAATTTTTATATTCCTTTGTTTTTCACATTCATTTACATTCCCCTGCTTATTGCTGTAATTTATCCAAAACTGTTATAACGATTCATTCCCAGCTCGTACATCTGTCCATCTGTTGAAATAGCCACTGAGCCAAGTGACAAACTGTATGCTGTCTAGAGTGACAATGCTTCATCTGTCTGCAGCAGATTTGTTATTGAAAAACACTGTCCTCACTGTCAGGCGAAATGTAATCTCAAATTAGCCAGCAAATACTGGTTTCTGCCAATTTCACCTTCTTCCTCCCAAGCAGTCAAGAAAGTTTAACAGCCTCATCACATTTCCTTTTTTTTTCTACCTTGTCACCGGTGTACAGGGCTCAGGATTGGTTACTGTGGAAAATGTGCCATTCACAGTCCATGTTTTCTGCTCAGAAAAGATCACCTTCTGAATTTAAACTTAAGCTCAGTGCACACCCACATGCTTTACTCCGCAACATCTTGGATCCCCTGAAATATAATCCGCTCCTGCACCTGCTGCCCAGAAGGCCAGTTGTGGCTTTTCCAACTCTTAGAGCTTAGAGCCACCAGAAACACTTCTTGCGCAGTTTCTTGACCCGTGCCTTGGTACTGGGGCGACTGGAGGATGCCGGGGCTGGCGTCGGCTTGGTCAGAGTTGGTGCAGGCACATCATATTCCCCCTCTAGGGCCTCTATAACCCCCTGGAAACGTCCCTCCTGCTGTCTAAAATCATGCTCCACACTGGAAGAGAGAGAGAAATAGAGAAGGCAGTTGAAGAGGAAGGAGACAAAGATGAGTGAGAAACATTATAAGCATGATTTAGAGACTGAGCTAATGTGAACCAAGCCAGATGTTTGTTTGTTTTTTAAATTCAGTTCCTTTCTCACAAAAAGAGAATACCGTAAATGTAGGGGTTAAAGGGAGATGGTGAACAGCTGTGTAAAACAAGAGGAAGTCTACTGGGCAGAAAGAGAGATTAGAAAGAGAGGGGTTTAGAGACAGCTAAGCTAAGGTGACCTAGTGACATCAAGAAATGCTGACAACACCTTAAATACTGTCCATAATGCAGTTTTTATGGAGGTTTAAACTCATATGTTCTTAATTTTGGTGTACGCGCCATCAGCCCACACACTCTTTCACACGTGTCTCAGCTCAGTACTCTTTTCACATCTATAGTATTCTTTTGCACTCATGCACCAGTAGATCACAGGCTGGTGAGATGAGAGGAGTGGGAGGAGAACGAAAAAGAGAGTAGGAAAGAAGAAGAGCATTTGCACAATGGAGGAGCTAAAAGAAGGAGCAATGGAGGAACTTTTTTACTCTTCTATGTTCAAAGCAGACCCTCGTGGCTTACTTTTTCTATGCTCCCATTCCCCCTCCACCCCTCATCTCGCTTGTGCTCTTTTTCCCTCACCATCTCTCTGAAGTGCCCATCGCTGCAGGTCATAGTGTAGCAGACTCTGAGTTTCTCCCTCCATTTGGTAACGTGTGTGTGTGTGTGTGTGTGTGTGTGTGTGTGTGTGTGTGTGTGTGTGTGCTGAGCTGGATTATATGGGTGGAGCTACATAGGGTCTGGCTCTGTTGTTGACAGTTGGATGGTACCGAAATAACAGGCAGATCGGAGACAACTACCAGTCCTTCCCTCTTTTTGTATGCCAGCAAACAGACACACACACACACACACACACACACACACACATCACACACACACACACACACACTCACACACACACACACACACACACACACACACACACACACACACACACACACTCAAAAACATATAATATACAAACACAGACGTGCTCCCCTGCCATCTCCATACATCTTCCTCAAAAGCCCACGGCTGAGTGAGAGTAAAAGAAAAACATGCAGAGACTTATGAAAGAAGAAAGGAAAGAGACAGAATCTTCGGGGAGATCGAAGGATGGCTAAATGAAAGAAAGGCGACCTTTAATAAAACAGGGCAGAGAGGTCACTGCATAGTAAAAGAGGAAACAAAAAAAGACAGGGAAGTAAAGAAGGACAAGATGAGTGCCACTAGAGATATGAAGAGGGGAGGGCAGCAAGGTCTCGGCTATCCGAGAAAGTGCGCAGTGATGGAGGGAGAGACGGAATGAGTGAATATAGGAGAAAGTAAAAGCTTGGGTGGGCACAGAGGAATGGAGATGGCCGCATGAATAATTGATAAAGAAGATCTACCGAGACACATATACACAAACAAAGCCACACAGCATACATATAAAGAAAGATAAAGGATGGCACCTGCCCCACATCCACTTACGGTACAGTGTGTCTTGTTTTAGAAACTAAAGCTTTTTCCATGTCAGGTCTCTCTATACGTCCCCTTGTCTCAAAACCTCAGTATAGCTCTCTACCTCTCTCTACCCATACCTATTTCACTCCCTCACAATTTTTCGTGGATTTACTGCACAGCTGCGAAAGCTGCTATTCTTAATTCGTTGTGTAAGCTGTCACCTTCAGCATCTTTTTACGTGCATGTATGACTGCGTGCTACGGCGTCTTTCATCCCTGCGAGACACAGCTAAACCCAAAACCTTTATTATGTTTTTAAAATGAGGTGTAACATGTGGAGATCAGGGCTAAAGTTTTGGTTTGTTTGCTTAATACATCAGTTTAAATTTGAGACTTGTGTGTGTATTAGAATACTTTTAGTTTCTAGGTGCGCATATGTGTTTTGTTCTGCTTGTTTCAGCTGTTTAAGCTTTGGGAGGAAAAACAGAGGAGCTGTCAGAAGTTCCTCTCCCTCTTGTCTCTCATTGTAAAGATTAATTAAAACAGACGATGGCAAAACATCTTCAGGCAGTCAGCCCACGTCAAAAGCTCTTTTTTTCACCACAGATCATTAGGATGAATGTTTTAGTCCCACACGTAATTCATCCTCTGCCTGGGTGTCTCTTATGCCACTCCTCCACTCCTCTTTACCCAGAGTCCTCTAGGGTTTTGATAAGGCCATTATTGTCCAATCAAACAAACAGAGCTCGTGTAGTTGTGACTTCTCTGTGTGTATGTCACAATAAAGATGCTGATTTTCTTTTTTTCCACCCCTGTTTTTGAAACAAACTCATACTGACACGAGAAGAAATATGACTAGGCTGGAGAATCTGCCTTTCAGTCCAAGTCATTAACATATTTCAAAGCACATGAAATATATTCTTTTTTTTGTTTGTTTGAAATGTGTATGCACATGAATCAAATAAAAGCTGATTTCCCTTTGTGCTGGATTAATTATCCTGTTTGTATTTGCATGTGTGCAATTAAGACAATAAGAAAGTAGAGCAGGAGAGAAAATCTTAGAAGCTGAGAAGAGAGAAAGGTGGACTATAATAATGTGAGAAGTGCATACACCAGAGACCAGGATTGTTCCAGGTCATGTAAAGTATCTCCCCGAAATATTCGAAAGCCTCACATTTTGAAGACTTCCATGTCTGGCTAATGTTAGACATTGTATGACTATGTAATGACACGTTTCTTTGTGCAATGTATGCTACTAGACTACTGAGGGGGTTTATTTGTAGTACAAGAAGATAATAGTATGTTTTGTTCTGTAAACACTAATTTTCTGCTAATTTCATAAACCGCTAATATCTAGGTTTAGCACGTTCAGTTGTTCTGCTTGTCTTCCATCAAGTTTTCACAGTCTGCGTGGAAATGCTTCTGAAAGTGCTTATTTAGTCAAACAGTTCAAAATCATTTTTGGAAGTGTTTATGTTTTTCTGCTTAAGTGAATTGTTGCATAATGCAGGTTGTCTTGTCATTAAAGCATTTGCAGTAGTTAATCAGGCTGTTGTATAATTACTGTCAGTGTTTTGCAAGGCTGAAGTCAAATGCCTTGTTTTCTCTTAAAAGCAGTCCCCATTTAAGATATTCCACAACGTGGAAGATGATTCTTTACTGTGTGAACAAAGGAGCTTGCATATAAGTGCATTTGTCTCACTATGTAAAGTAGTGGTGGAAATCAATGTGTGTATATATGTGTGGATATGGATGAGCATGTTGCCATGTGGCAGCTTTCTCCCTTGGTGCTCATTGCTACTTACTGGGATAAGGATTTTGCTGTGTTAATTAGGATCAAGGGAACAAAAAATGAGATGAGGGGAAACAGAAAACTGGATGCAAAGAAGAGATTAACTGACAGAGAAATGGAAAGTCAAAACAAGAGCGAGATGCAGAGGTGGGGCTGCTTTGAGGCAAGTAGCTTTGAGAGTTAAAGAGAACTGAAGAGGTAAAGACCCCGCAAAACTTGTCTTTATCCCCTCGAGGCCTGCGAGGGAGATTTGTATGTGATTGTAAACAAGCAGAATTAACTTCAAGCCTAGCTTTGGTCTGTAAATACTTCTTTTCTTTTAGTTTTATCCATGAAGCTACATGCAACCTACATTTCCAGCTTATGTGAGCAGTGCAGAGAAAGAGTAGAGGGTGAAAGTGGGGCACACTGAGGTGATTAGAGCTTTGGCGATTGACAGACAGAATGAGGCACAGATGTAGACAGGAGTTTGTTTAAAAAAAGAGGAAATGACAGAGATTTTAGTGGGATGTAATGGAAATGTTTATGTGAACATTTGTGAGAGAGAGAAGGAATATGTGGAGCTAACAGGAGGATTAAAGTACAGTATGCGATAAGAGGCAGTGCAGTTCTGCAAGTTGCTGAGGATCTAAGAATGCAGTTAGTTATTTAGGTCAGTCAAGCATGAGATAACTGGACTGATCATTTAGATGTTGAATTAATATCCTTGTTTGCACAGAACATTCTTTTGTGTGTAAATATCCTCCCTTGGTAGAGCATCTTTTACTAATCTGCAAAGTACAGCAAGTATTAATTTTAATATTTATAAGAGCAATCACTCTTAGTCTCTTTTTCCTTATAATAGTGTATGGTATGAGTGGTACAATAATCAGAGTGGAAGAAAAGGGCAGCGACAGCAGGGTGTCAGGAAGAAAGGGTAATGAAACAAAAAAAGCTGAATAAGTGATAAAAACCTGGAAAGGCTGAAGAAATAACAATGGGAAATTGCATCCTACGAGAGGCATGCAGTTTTACAGAAGTTTCATGGCTATTTCTAAAGCTCCAGGTAAGAATTAGTTGTCATTGGTGTGTTATATAATACAGTAAGCTCATTATCTTTATTAGGTTACCTGTAGATGATGCAGGCTGTCTTTTGGCAGGTGGGGCAGTTGTTTATGTCCTGACCAGTTCTGTATGAGCTGCGACTGCAGAAACAACAAATGTAAAACGTTTACACACATGAAAGCAGTTTGACTGAACAGAGCCGTGAATGCTGATGGCAGTTACACGTCTGGTTTTTAATTTTTGCTGTAGTGTTTTGATTGGTAATGATCTAAACAAAATTCTATGTAGGCATACAGTGCATGCGTTGTTTGTTATAATCCGCTTAAGTAAACCACTCTGATATATTTACCATTGCTTTAATCATTAGCATATATGATTTTTAGATCCGCTACTTCAACAAAAAAGGAAAGAAATCCTGCCAAGCTTCAACAATATTCATTTTTGTAATAGTGAAAGATTATTTTGCACAAACAGCAGGCTGGGCTTTTCGTGGCGGTGTCACGCTGGTGTCAGAATTGTTATTTCTCTCTCCATGGACACGTACCCAGTGCAGCAACAACAGACATGCTGTCTACGTGTTGTCAAAGGGCACAAAATAGTTGTGATGTTTAGTGCATACAATGTGCCCCAGTAACACTATTCAGGACATTACCAGGATTGCCCCAATGGTTGAGTACCTGCCTGTTTACTATTCTATGCAGAAAAAAAAAATTGCAGCAACTGTCTTGGTACATCAGGTTTTGAGCCACACGTCACATAGCACAGATATTATTACCTTAAATTAGAGGCATAGTGAAAGTAAGCTTATTGTCTTTCATTTTAGATGGCTAGTTTGAACAGCAGAGCACACATGCCAACTGCATCAAGGCTGAACAAGACTAAAGAGACTACAGAGCCAAGGACACTCTTTACATGTTAGAAAATAAGCTGGAATTTAAAAATATCTGTTAGGCTTGTACTGCCTGCCTCCCAATTAAAATACTTTATTTTGCCAAGGTATTTTGGCTGGCCTTCAGTTGAACCATTTAGAGAAAAAAGTAACTGATTTATGTCAATAAAATTGACATTTTAATTACATGGAGTGAGACTGTGTAACTGGCATCATTTTTCTCCCCCACCAGTCTTTATCAAAGACGACAACAACAGCATGAGAAGACGAGTTTTTGCTTCAGGAGAGAAACGAGACAAGGAGCTGAGCACAGCGACAACCTTTTAGCTCAGCCGACACTTTTATCACAGCAGCCCACTTAGAGTCCTTTCATTTCTGGCACAGCACCAGATTCATGCAGTCCCTCTATTACTTGCTGCTTCTCTTAATGTTCATTCTTTTAATGTCTTCCTATCTTTCAATAGCTATCTTTCACCCTCTCTCTTCTGTCTGTCTGTTTTTCTCTCACTCTTAGCATGATACATGGGCATCCTCCCAAAAAAGCCTTTACACACAACAGAAGCATGAATGCACATTATACAGCAACAAAGATGGGGTAAGACAGCTGGAATACTGATTTTATGTGTCTTATTGTGCAGCTTAAAGATTAATTGCAAGGTAATCTGATAGGGATTAGACTGCAGCCAGAGACCTCTCTTAACGCTGGACAAAAATAAGGAGGGATGGGAGAGAATAAACCATGTACACAGGGAGTTTAGGTGATGATGGAGAATCATCAGTTTTAGGATAGTTGAGAGGTAATGGTTATGGGTGGGGAAAAAAAGGTGCAGACTTTAACTTAATGGTGAAATGGAAGAGGGTGGTGAAGAGGTGAAGAATAGGAAGCAAAACAAAACAGTGTGACAGCAAAGATCTGACAGCAGGGAAGAGTGATGGACAGGTTGTTGGGAGAGGAGAAGGGGGGAAGATGAGAAGGCACAGGAGTGATTCACAGTTGTTAGTTGAAGATATGATTCATACTTTACGGTGAAGTGTGTAGCGAAAGATAAGGAGTGGGAAGGTATTAATTAAAAATGCACCAAAGAAAGGTGTGTGGCTGATGGTGAAGAGAGGGATAAATTACTAAAAGCGGGTTAAGAAGCAGTGGAGAAGAGGGGGATTTTTGAAAGACCAGCTGTTATGTGTGGAGGGAAGAGGAAGAACATGTGGCCAGGGAGGAGGAAATTAAGAATCAAAGATTTAGCAGGGGAGAGAAAGAGTAACTGATTAGTTCTGTTTGCTTAGAAGTAGTGTCTGTTTGGGGCTACATGCTCTCAAACTCAAAGGAAATGCAAGAAAGCCAACACTGACCTCCTGCTGGTAGGTATCAACTCTCTCCAAACATGTGTACACACATTGGATCTCCACACTGGTGGCATTTAAAAATCTAATATACTGTATTGAAAGCCTGCCAGCTATAAAAACTTAAAAATACTCTGTTATTAATCTCTTTCACTCACAGTGCACCCTCTCTTCTACCCCTCTTTCTCATCTTTATCACCTCCCTCTTGCTTAAACATTTGCTCACGCGGTGAATGCCTCTACCACTCCTTTTACATGTGTTATCTCTTTTTATCACTCCCTTTTTCATTCTGTCTTGACATCTATGTTTCTTCATTTCACACTTTATTCTCAGATTATCCTCTTCCTTTCCTTCTTACCTTCTTCCATTCCCCTATTTCCCCTTCTCTCTTCAAGTTATTTTCCTTCCTAAGTCCCTTCTCTCACCCTTCAGTGAAGGCTTTGCTCTTCTCCAAGTCTTGAATCACGTTGAGAAGCACCTTTATCTTCTCCTGATTGGACAGCAGGTTCTCCTCCACACTCTGCAGCTGCTTCTCCAATCCACGTGGTGCTTGTACTGCATGTCCGTCCAGAAGTCCTCCCGGTGCCCCATTGCATTGTGCTTTCATATGAGTCTTACAAGGCAGAGTGTGGTCATCGAATGATTTGCTCTTCTGATTTGTGTAGTCCTTGAGTTTGATCCGTTCTAAGGATCGTTTCGGTACGTTTGTGGTCTCCTGGGTTTCGTTTTGCGCTACAGATGTGGCTGGTTTGGACTGAGTGGATAGAGGACAATTTTTTGGTGGAAGAGGTGGGGTGGTGCTAGATTTTGAGCTACTGTGACAGGAAGGAGCTGGAGACTTCAAAGCAATACGGGCTACTGTGTTCTGATGTGACTCTTCATCAGTGCGTTGGCCTTGAGCCACAACTTGACTGCGTTCATCATTTGAGTGTGATTTTATCACCTCTAAAGTTGGCGTGTGTGTTTGTTGTGTATGCATGTCAGCTGTGGTCCTATCTGTGTTACTTTGTGTATCTGTTGTCTGCGTGGAGGAGTCCTTGTAAGAGGTAAATTCTGCAGAGTGTGGCCTCATGTGCTGCTGTGAATCTTTGGCTTTGTTCTGAGTGTGTGTTGCGTGGTTTGAGTGTGAACTGTGCGCTTTTGGTATAGTGTGCGACAGCTGTGATAATTGAGTAGTCTTTACTGATGTGTGTTGCTGTGTGTTGGCTGTGTCTGTTTTTTTGGTGCAAGACTGGGAGTTCATAGTAGCAGAGTCTTTTCTTGACTGATTAGGAGCCACAGGCGGTTTCCGTGGCGGATTAGGTAAAGTCTGGCTAGCTGTTATTTGATTAACTGCCCTCCTGCGACATGCACCAGTGCACGGCGAAATCTGAGATCGTCTCCTCCCACATGTCCCACAAAGGCGAGGCGGAGAAGTCGTCATTACTCTGCAGGGCCGAGGTGGGGTGGCGTGCACAGTTGTACAAACGCTTACTGTCTTTAACACCGTGCGATGACCCTCCCCTCGTAGAGACTGCACCCTTCTCCTCTCTTGGGCAGGCTCCTTACCTTCTGTGGCTTCACTGCAAACCCCTCCCACCACATCAGAGGCTACCACACTGCCATTTGTGTACCGAGCTGTCCTTTTACCTCTCGTGTCCTTTGGGTTTGTCCGTATGTTTTTGATCTGGCAGTAAACTCCACTGCCTGATCCCTGTGACCCCATGTCGTCCTGTGTCAGGCTGTTGATCTCGTTTTGAGATGTCTCTTTTGACACCGGCAGACTGTTGCTGTCACTTCTGATAACTCCCCCCGCCTCTGCTGTTGTTGTTGTTTTGTCTGTTGCCATGGTGAGGAGCCGAGGTGTGTTGGTTGGTTGGCTGCTGTGGCGTTTGATGGAGGGGAGAGTCCGAAGTCTGGGAGATGTCTGCACCCCGACACTGCACAGTGGGCCCCATCGCCCCCCCGCCAGGGGAACTCCCAGTGCAGGGACTGGATTTGTTGGGTCAGCCACCCTCCTGCCCATACTCCTCTGGAGGCTTGCTCAGCCCCCTGAGGAGCTGAAAGGGATGGAGGCAAGCAGCGACATCAGCCGCCAGCAAGATTAGATCTAAGCGCAATCCAAGATGTTTCCAGCTCTTGTTTACCCAAATTAATTTATGTGAAAGAGTTTTTAGGGAGCTGGAGAAAGGAATTCAATATCCAATAAAGCTGTAGACTCTCAACTTTCTTCCATTAATGATCTTATTACTTGAGCTACTTCCGACTGGATGACACTGTCAAAGCTTTTCTCAGTTTCCAACCAGAGGCCCGCAGATGATGAGTTGGATTGCTTTTCTGGGCATTGCTGGTTTGTTCTGGAGAGAGGAAAGAAATAAAGGCAATGAATGATAGAAACAAAGGTAGAAACAAGAGAAACTGGCAAGAAATAGTCAGACTGGCAAGAAGACATAGACATTAGGCACGTAAAGCACCGTGTAAAAGCTTCGACCTCGACTGAGAGCATACACTGACCAGATCAATATAGGTCTATCAAGTTCTTATTACCCTAGCAGGTGGGTGAGAGTAACAGTGGCAAAACTTTAAATCCCATCAAGGAGAATGAAAAGACTATAGAATATGTTCAGGGTAGGTTATGGGCAATTGCATGTTTCTCTATAGAGTTGGGAGTTGCATACAAATCACAGGAGCTATAGATCCTGTCAATTTAAAAATGCTGCTTAATTCTTTTATTAAGTGATCTAAGGAGCTTGGATCACTTTAATTTAATTTCATTTTAAACATTACAACACATTTAAAATTATTTTTTCTTTCTTTACATTCCATAATAGTTTGTAGACTTATAACTAATCATTTGTTATCATTTGTCGTAAAAGCAGTTTGGAAATGTTTCAAATGAGTTAAGATAATTTAATAATTTTGTGATCAACTCTATAGCATTGTTCCATGTTTAATGTTTCTTTTGTGTCTAGTAATCTATACAGACATTGTGCCCTTCGGTCTATTTTAAATGTTTTTTTAACTGAATTTTTTAAAAGCAAGGAAATTTAATGTTAATCCATGACTAAATTATGTTAAGGTCTTATCTTTGTTTTGTGTTATTTTGCTTAGTCTAAAATTTTTGCATTGATTGGGAGAGAAGCAAAATTAGCCATTTAGTCTTTATCATTTCAGATCACTGACTCAGTGTAATTCAGTGGCGCACTGTGTCACTGCGATTAGCTGATGAAACTGGGCCAGAATTCTATTATATTTACTGTTTTTTTCCATATCAGGATTTTGGGCTATTGCAGGAAATATGGGCAGGGTACATCAAAAAGAAAAAGACAGATAAGGAAGAAAAAAGAGCGCTATTTAAATAACTTACCCAACTGGTACTATATTTAAGAGCATGGAAAAGTGGATGCAGGAACATTTGTCTGGTATATTTCGTTTTAGCTAATGGAGCTATGCTAATTTGAGCTAATGTAATTACACACAGTTTGGCTCTTGAGGATAAATGGCAGTGCAGTGCATTTGCTGTCTGCACAGAACTCAAGCAACAATACATTTTAAACTTGTTGCAGATCCAGCTCATATATTGTAGAAAATTTCTTTTTGTCCGCCTGTGTTTAAAAAGTCAGTCACCGTCCACCTTTGATCCCTCACTGCCGCACACAAAGCTGGTCTGCAGCTGGTGTGAGGTAATTTGTCCATGAAATTAGGCTTGTGTGTGTATCTAGGCTGAAATCTTTGTGTCTTCGTTTTTTCTTCTATCTTCTATCTTCACAAACAACGTTGTCACTCTATTCAGCCAGTGTGGGGTGCAAAAGCTGGCTGCATACACACACACAGACACACACACGTAATCAAACACACACAGGGAAGATGAATGGCTTAGTTTACACCAGCTGGTGCAACATGTCACACAGATTCTTGCTGTATACGGTCAATTGTGGAAAAAACTAAAAGATATAGAGAGAGAGAGAACGAGGGAGAGAGAAATAAATCAGCTATAGCCATGTTCACCTAATAGTGTAAGAACCCATGAGATTACAAACAAAAAAATCTTCTATTGTTTCATTATTGTAAAGAATTCTTTCTCAGGGTTTTGAGAAGTTTTAAAACAGCTTGTCGGCTCTGGCACTATAGCAGGTAAAATTATGTGCTCACCAGTGGACAGGTAACACATCCTAACTGCAGTGAGCCTGACTGCTACTCTAATATTTCATATGTATTCAGAATGAGAGGCTTGTACCCATTCACTCATACCAATGCCCTGTCATGACCTAAGCCTAATACCCCATGCTGTTTTGACTGCACAAGGAGAATAAAAATTGACATCTTAGCCTTTTCCCCCCCTTTTTCCCTGACAGCAACTGTAATTAAGGTTGTCAGACTCTTTTCAGTTTTCATTTAAAAAAAATTAAATATTAATACTGATGCTGGTGGGCTTGCCCATGAGCTGAAGTGCTGAACAAGGAACAGTTTAAATTTAGACTGTTCAGCCTGCATCCTGCGTCTGAAACTTTCTAGACATAGAAAACAATAAGTGTCACACAGTGCACTGCATTGCTTGAGAGCTTCAGTGACAGTGGTGCTTTGAAATGTAAGGTTTCTGCATAAGGCATTAAAGATCAAAGGATTTCTGTTTCAGTGACATATTGCTCCTACTTATATAAATATCTTGACAGTGTGTTTCGCTTGTGGAGTGTGACATTGCCAGGGAGGGGTCTCGCATTATTGACAGCCCAGACTGCTTATTATTGTTTACTGTGCTAACTGTGGTAATCACTTTCCTGGAGTGGACGACTGAAGCTTTAACTTTAACTTTAACAGGGCACAGCGACTGGGTGAATGAGAAAAGCACTGAGATTCGTTGTTTGCACAAACAAATTGCAGATGATGATGGCATTTCTGTGGTGAGAAACAGATGGAGAGGGAAAGCAAGAAGAAGAGAGCTAGCCGGTGTTTGTGAGTGCAAAAAAGAGAGAGAAAGAGAAAGGAAGGATGCATATGTGCATGCATATGTCCCCATTTGTGTGTTTGATTGTGTATAAGAGCTGTCAAGCAGCTTGTCTTGGGATTCAGACTGAGTGAACTAAAGGTAATTCCACTGCAGCTGACTTGCCTTTCCATCAGCAGCCTCATCAGACAGCAGAGCACCTGCTGCAAGTTTTTTCTTTCTTTCTTACTTTCATCATTTTGTGTGTGTTCCTTTTTGAAGTCTGACTCTTCACCCCTGACCTGCATGATGTCAGGCAGAAAGTGACACCATATCCTCAGAAATCCAGCTCACACTCTGTGTATCTCAGACTCTCTACCCTTCTCTTTTTCTCAATCACTTCCCCCTCTTTTAAATCTTAAAGGATAGCACTAACCTCGCATCGCTCTTTCATCACTTGCTGTGTTTGTTGTCACACTTTCCCACTCAGCACCCTCTCTTCCATCTCTGTCATGCAACCTTTGATTTTCTCTGTGCTTCTCTCGCCTCCTCTTTGTTCTTTATATATAAACGTAGTCTCTCACCAACATTTCACCTCTGGCTGTGCAAAATAAACGGGGAGGAGAAAGGGAGGAAACATTGTCATCTGGGGGATAAAGGGGAGGCAACTGAAGAGGATAACAGGGTAGACGCCGGCACAGGCAGGGCTGACAGGTGGCCAGGGGATGACAGCGAGAGAACAGATGTATTAGCAGAACTGTGGACAAGATGAAGGACTCGCACGAGCATTTGTATGTGTGGGTCAGCGGAAGAGATGTGAAGGCCTAATTTTCTATAGTTGCTTTAAATCTCCAATCAGTTTCTCCTTTCATAATCTGAATGACTTTTTTAAAAGATAAAAGTAAAAACAGAAGACTGGAGGAGAAGGAGGAGGATGTGTGAAGAGACAAACATTAAAGGAAAGGAAGAAAAAAAGATCTGGGATGCCACACACATTGCTTGCCAGTAATCAATGAACACCGCAAGTGTGCTTGAGCATCTGTCATCACGCACACAGACCATACAAGCCTTTCAACACCGCAGGGAGTTTCTTGACAGGGTGCAGCCTTTTATGAAATCTGTTTATACATGCAATGAGTTTAATTTGCCAGTCGGTGGGTTTGAGCTTTTAAAGCATTGTCTATGACACAGGCAGTCTCAGCGATGCCCTGCATGTTTTTTACATGTGTCTGTGAATGAGTGCGCACCCACGCCTTTGCAGTGGTAACAGAGCGCTGAATGCTCCAGCGAATCGAGTCCCCTGTCGTTTCAAGGTGAGTCTCATTTTTCAACTGCCGATTGACAGGCCCTGTGTGTGTGTGTGTGTGTGTGTGTGTGTGTGTGTGTGTGCGTGTGTGCAAGCGTTTTTAGGGAGACTGAGAGTTGCTTTACTGCTCTGTAATCACACCACCCCTTTCAGTTACTATCTCTCACCCACTCACCACCAGAACAGAACAAACGCAGCACTTTATTGGCCCTTTGAGACGGGGCACACAGTGCATTTTGTGCAGTTCATTAGGCTTTTTTCCCTCCAGCCACTGTTGTTTGGGTTCAAGGCAACAAAAACATTTCTCTGTTATATATTGCCAAACCTTTCTAATCTTACACCTCTGATTTAACATGTGTTTGAAACTTAAATGGTAGGCAATGTGTTTTTGGTGCCACTGGAAGAAAAATCTATAATAACCTTTCAGCATATTGTAATTCAAAGTGTCTGAGAGGAAACAGACTCCTTCACTTTCTGTTAGCTTTGTTTTCAGGATTTTAACAAGTCTACTCCTCAGAGAGAGACGTTGGTTGATCACAGATCTGTTCAGACAAGAACCGGCGTAGTATAAAGTCGAACAAAGAGCAACATTGTAAGATGTAGCTCTGCAGTGGGTTAAGCGCAAAACTTTCAGCTAGAAGAGTGGGTTCTAAATGTCACATGAAGCTTAAAAGTCAGCATTATCCTATTTCTATTCCATGTGAAACACCTGCTATTTAGTGTGGACGCCCTATGTCTGGTGGGAGGGACTTAGAACAGTGAGGTGAGAGCTGCATCTTCTTTCTTCTTCTTTTTCTGCCTCCTGCAAGTTTTATTCTATCAGAGACCTTTATGAGAAATAATTTCTGTCCATTTCTTACAACTGTTATATTGGATAGGAAGATACTTTTTAGACATTTAATATTCTCGCACGTATAAATCAAATAAAACACTGTGCGGAGGCATTTTGTATGGGATAACTGCAGGAGATAGGATTGCCACACCTGCCATTTAAATATTTGAGCACCTTGTAAGACCATCTCTCTGACTCTTTGCTACAATAAGCAGACAAGCTATCAAGCAAGATACTAAGCTCCCCTCAAAGAATTGTAATATAAAAATATAAGTTTGTTCAGTATCTTGCATTGCTTTTATTACTTTGCCACAATATTCTTTTTTTTTTCAGTTAACTTTCTTCAAAATGCAGGAGATGGGGGAAAAAAACAATCAATATTTAGTATGAGCGCCCTTGTCCGTGAAACCACACCAGTTCTCATTGGTTCACATTTTTCAAAGCAGTTAGTGTGTTCCAAGCATCCTAGAGAATTTGCCACAGTTCATCTGTGGATTTGGGCTGTCTTACTGTGTTCTGTCTCCTCGTTTAATCCCAGGCTGACTCCATGATGCTGAGATCAGTGCTCTGTGGGGGGTGTCTGTTGCAGGACTCCTCTTTAGCTTTGTGACAATACTGTTTGATGCACAGTACCCTATATGTACCCTATATATTTTCTGTTTGTCTGTAGTTTTCAAAATGTGAAGTCAGCCTCAAATTCAATATGATGATATACATACTGTGTCTCTTTGTGTTTGTTTGCATTTTTAATTAGTGATTTCACCTTTGTTAAGTGTCCCAGTATAACACTTCTTCCGGTAACTCATAGAAAAATGAATCCGGTATTAATCATCAAAATAAAAAAGGACATATACACAGCTGATTCTGCAGCCGTTGTCATTCTGCATTTTAATTGAGAGCAGCTGTATTTTTTAGGAACAGTGCCCATAAATTAGCATCTCAACTGGAAAGAGGGAAGTCACAAAAGGCTAATGTTCATACACAAAAAGCCAAACATTTCACTAAGCCAGCAAGTAAGGGTCTAAGTGAAGAATTGTTTTGGGAAGATTGTGCGTAATATTAATGAGAGAGTAACTGAGATACTCAGGTTCCTCTTAAAGGTATGCAGTGCAAACTGTGGTCACTGTTGCTCTCCAAGCAACACAAAAAAGATGCAAAAGAGGACTTAATTGGGGTTTTTATAGACAAACTCAAATCCCAACCACTTCACAAACAACAGGAAAATGGAAAATGCTCTGCGGCGCCCTGTGTACTGAATGTTCATGAAAAATTTACATTGGACAAACTCTGTGTATATGTACTTTGCGTTTGTGTGTGTGTGTTTTTGTTTCTGCATGTTTGGAATCAGAGATGCATAAATTAAGCAGAAGCAGAAAATAAATTAAACAGAGAACTGAGAGGCAGACTTCCCCGCACGTCTGTCTAAGAAGAAACTCAGATAAGGCAAACAATGTCACTAATTGAAAGTAAATCTGAAGGGTTTTAGTCTGTTCAGTGCATGAACACTGTAAACAGACACTGTAAGTCATTACAGTCTTTTTTTCTTTCTCAGGGACTCCCTCTAGTAGAGGAATGAAAGGGTTCGTATTGATGTTTAAACATGTCTACCTTCGGTCGTGGTGCAACCCCAATCAAAAGGCACGGCACGACGACACAAAGTGGGAAAAACAAAACTGATCTCATAACAATGGATTTTATTAAAAACTTGTAGCCCTTTCAGCCCTTACTCCTCGTGTATGTGGCAACAAATAGGAAATAATTCAAAGCAATGTTCTTTTCCAGTCAGAAAGACCCCAGAGGAAAAAAAAGTCAATTCGGTTTTAATGCTGTAAGCTTATTTATAACCTGTTAGGAACCTATAATAAGAAAAGGGCTGCAATACATTACAGACCAAGAGCACATTATTGACAAATCCATCTGGCGATTTAATTCATTTGTTTTGTTGTCTGCTGGAGTAATGTTTGCTGGTTGAGCAGCGGGGCAGAGAAACCAAAGGAAAACAGCATATTTATGAGATATTTAGCACCAAATACTTAATAATAGGAGATAAACATGATAGAGTGGAAAACTAGACCGAGTCAGCTAAGAGGGGAAAACAAAGTGTTTGAGTTAGAGGAGACGCCACAGATGCACTACTACATAAAAATCTTATCAGTGTAGCTAATAGGGTGTGATATCATCAGAGGTTTACATTTTGGCTTTTACTGTGTACTCTTCTCTCTCTGAGCATTTTTTTCTCCAGTCACCTTTCTTTTCCCCTTGGTCACCTGTCGTCATCCTGATTACTACCTTTTGTCTTTGTACTCTTTTTATCATCTCATTGTTCTCTTCTCTTCGATATCACTCATCCTGCCTGCACATCCCATCCAATATCTCCATCATTAACCCCTAATCTATTCCTCCTCCTCTCATCTCTTCATCTTGTTGCCCCTGCTGCCCTCGCTCCCTTTCACACATCCATCTTCCCACCATTCTGACTTTTGTGTCCTTTTGTCTTTCACCGCATCTCATCTGTTTCTCATCACTTGTTCACAGTGTGTCTGGTTAGCAGAGCGGCTAAAGTGTCACTGACATGCACGTGCGGATGCACTGACAGATGCACAGACACACACACATATAACTTCATCTGTGCATGCCAGTACATACTTCTTTGGATTCCTCTTTCTGTCTTCCTGTCGACTGACTGAACCTTTATTTCTTTATTTCTTTCTTTTTATTTCTTCTTTCTTTTTTTATGTCTTATTTCTTTCTCTCCATTATTTGTGAACCTGCAGACACTGAATGTGATAAAAGTCAATGTAGTTTAAAGCTACCTACTGATTAGGTTTTCTCAGTGTATAATTTTAGATGTAATTCCTGTACTAAAGTTGTTTCCAATATGTGAACCTGTATTTGTGCATTTACTACTAGACACATAAATTACTTTCTGTATAAGTTTATACAAGTTAGAAGTTATTACCAAATAAATGAAGTCCAACTCAGGAGTGTTACAAACAAATCAGGCCTAGACATATGCAAAGAAAACATGTTTATATGTAAATAAAGAATATGAATTCATAAAGCACATTGTTGAAAATATTCAAGAATCTTCGAGAAAGATTTCATTGGTCCTGAATCAAATTCCTGCCTTCACACATCAGCTATTCATTATTATTTTTCCCAGAACAAGAGCAGAGAAAAGCCTTAGCAACATTCTGGTGCATTCCTAATAACCATGACAGGCTCTTTGTAAAGTGGCATGCTAAAATTTGGACACTCCTGAAAATATTGCATATTATGTTAAAGTGAGAAGAACTGAGTGCAACCACTGCAGAAAACAGAGATAAAAATTGGGTTTTATTCAAATATGGATGTGGTTTTCAGGGGGTTTTATCTGCTTATTAACTTTTCACGAACTGATAATATGCTGCTCTGTCATGTGTGCTTGGTCATCTTTGTGCTTTTAAGGTTTCATAACATCAGCGGTTCATTAGACTTTAATTGACTCAATAGAAAGAATCATCATTGGGAGTCCAGAGCTTGATTCATTCTTGATTCATTGATCCTCTATTTCAGATTTCATGGTAACACCAGGGCTGACTGGTGATCTGAAAAATTACATTTTACTTTTACTTATGAGTTTGAATGCTGTTTAGAAATCCAATGCACCCCGTTCCTTTAAGCGGTGGCTTTTGGCCCTTCATAAAAGACCCAAAAGAGTCCCAGCTTGTCTTTGACATATTTATTATTTCATTTAGGTGAATAGGGCATTTTTTTTTTTAAGATAAGTTTTACTTAAGGTGTTTAACTTAGGTTAAACAAGTGTTTTCCAATGTCAGTGACTAATGATGTTAGAATAGTAATACTTGTCTGAATATTGACAAAAACTCTTTTCTAAAAAAACAAAAAACAAACTACCAGCTTGAAAATTCCACTTTCTGAAATAGCGGTAATGAAAATGCAAAATTTATAAAAATCAAGAAAACTTTTTTATTTTATAAATCTGTACATGCTGGGCAAAAAGGAAAAGCAAAACCAACACATGGCAACAAAAGGCCTACAGGACGGTGCCGCAGCAGAAATGCACTGTTTCCATGTGCAGACATGATGCACAAACAGTACCCATGTAGAGAAGGCAGAACGGGGAAAACGTCCTTCATTCTCACAACAAATTCAGCATCTTAAGTATGCAAAATAACATCTGAATAAGTCAGTCTCAATTTGGAAGGAAGTACCGAAGACAGATGAAGTTCAAATTGAGCTGTTTGGCTGCAGTTATCGAAGGCATGTGTGGAGAAAGGAGCAGCATTTGATGAAAAGAACACCTTGTTAGCTGGAATGACTCTTGTTTAGGGTTGTGCAGTAGCTTATGGCAGAGGAAACACAGCATACATAGAGGGAGGAGGAGTTCAAATATTGCGCAAGCAGTCAAGAAAGTCAAACTGAAAACAGATTCCCTTCTACAGCAACAATAATGACTCACAACAGAGTACAATTAACTGTTTTTGGCTAAACATCCCACACAGCAGTAAAAGCGAGTAATTTAAATTTAATAAATTTATTCAACAAGTGCGGTTATTTTGCTGTAGCCCTGTAGACATGTCGCTGTAGGACTAGAAACAACATTATTTTTCTTTTCATTTTTCAACTTGTTGATGTGTTTGTGCAAGTGAAAGACTGGACTGTGTGATAGTGTAACACATACACACACGCACACACATACAGATATGCACAGATTGTGATCCTGATTTATGTTATGAGGTTATATAAATTTTGCACACAGGTCACATAAATCCACACTGTCTCAGTTTGAGATGTCTGTATACAGATTTGATCGTTTTAAAACAAACGCGCGCATACACACAAACACAGATGCATGAGGTCAGCATTAGTGTATAAAGAGAAGGGTTATTGCTTTATAATCCCACATTAAAGCTACACTAGCTGTCCCGATGATTGGTTCAGAGGCTTTTAATATTAGTCGGGCAGCAAAGACACACACGTATTCCCATAAACACACAGGAATGTTCGGAATCGTTGTTAAAGGAAAACTTGTAATTAATATTGCATTATGAAACACACTCACTTAAGCACACACAGACGTATTCATGTGAATCAAATCCTACTGTGACAGATGGATGGGATTACTCACCTGCCACACACACACACACACACACACACACACACACACAGCGTATCTGCTGTCGATACTAATGCAGTGATCATACTACTTTTTTCTTCCTTTTTTGCGAAAATACACTTATAAGGTTTCCATAAAACAGATAGACCATCTGATATATAAATACACTTTTAGCAGACGACTGACTCTGTAAGGAATGAGACATCCACCAAGCCAAAATTTGTGTGTTTTTTGGATTGTTTGTTTGTATGTTTATCTATGTAGCCCAGAGGTTTAACCTATGGATTTTTTTCCTGCACTCCAGTTAGCTCTCTGGTGCCTCCTTCCATAAAACCAGTTACCTTCATTCAAAACCTTAAATCTTGAATGAGCATCTTTGAAAAATAAAGTATTTGCCTTGGGCTACCAGACCAGAAACATTCCTCAAATGGCCATAACAGCGCGAGAAGAAAACATGTTAGGCTTTTATGCTATCACTCCCCTATACACACACACGCACACACACACATACACTTAACTACATATACACTCAGTGTTATTTTTTAACAAATATCTTTGCTCTTGCTTTCTTAGTCACTTACCTTTTCTTATCATCCCCTTTGGTCCGCATGCTTCTGTCTTGCCCTGGTTCTGTGTGTGTATCACTCCTGTGTGGTAGTCCTTTAGTGCTCAGTAGAGCTCTCCTCCGATTCTTTACCACTCTATCTCTCTCTCCGTCTCATTCTGTTGCTGCTGATCCTCGTATGCTCGCGGAGCCCAGTGATCCTCCCTCCCTCTCTCTCTCTCTCTCTCTCGCTCTCTCTCCCTCTCTTTTTCACACACACACATACACTCCTCTCTCTCCCTCTTTCCCTGATCAATATTTCTGCCTGCTTCTCTTTAGCTCTCATGTGCTTCTCAAATATTCTCACTCATTTCTTAAGTCATCCAGTGTCATGATTCGCTTTATTTTTATATATTGGTGACAAATCTGATGTCATGCCCTGAATTTTGTGTCTATGTTTGTCTGTGTGCCTACATTGACCCTGGCACAGTAGTAGACCCAGTGAAACTTTGGCAGTGTGCTCCCGGGAGTCGAGCCAGGACACAAACAAACACACATGCGTGAACACACAGAAGCACACACTCGTGCTTCTACCACTCACTTTATTTATACCTTTGCTTTTCTGTGAGAATAAAGTCTAGCATTGCCTTGCTAACTCGCTTTCTCTTTCTCTCTGTTTTGATTTTCTCCTTGTAGTTTCACCTCACTCTTCTATTTGAGCTACAGTATTTGGTCACTGTCCTCTCTCTTCTTTGCCCCACTTTCTCCTCTTCATGCCATTCTTTAGTGTTCTTTCATCCTCATTTTTCATACTCCCCTCATGCTCTGTATTTGGCTGTCCCACCACTCATCCTCCTTTAAGCTTATTGTCTTTCTTCCCCTGCTCCCATTCATATGAGCTGAGAATGACACTGCTTTCTTTCTTGTGGCAAATAAGGCAATTAGATAAAATGAAAAGAAAGTGAGATTAAACACCATATGACATCGGGTTTAAATTATGCTTAATGATGAATGCTTTGTCTTTTGAGCCTTCCAGGAATTGTGTGCGTGCGTGTGTTTGCATGTGTGTGTGTGTATAAATTAATTTCTTCTTTTGTCGTGCATCAAGGAAGACAAGAATGTTTTACCATTTTTCACATCTTTTACTGGCAGCTTTCAGATTTAGAATTCAGGTTTAGGGATTGATCTTGTATGGTTTCATTAGGATAAACATTTGTTAGGCTGTTAGCAGTTAAGAAATAAAGCTGCAGGGAATTTACAAATGTAATGCTTGTGCAATAACACAATGCAATGTCGAGCTTGATTCTCCATTCTAAGCAGTGATTGTCAGTGAAATGTTTTGAATATTTCTTTAAAACGCTGCGAGTTCGTGTGTTCCCTGAGCGGCTGTTTGATGCAGTGTCCATATAAATGTCCCTCCTGACCCCTCCCCCATCTGAAAATAACTGGCGATGTATGCACCACTGCAAAGTGGTTGACTCACCTTGTGTTGTGTTTCAATTGACCTCTGGTGTGATGAGGTAAATGGTGTGTGTATGTGAGTGTGACAAATATAAATGTAATTATGCACATTGCATAAGCAGCAGTCACCGCAGTTCAACACATGAAGGCTTTTAAAAAATATTACACGTGTGCACGGAAACACGCGAGGGCCATGAATCATGAGATAGTTGTGCCAGAGCTTAGAGGTCGTGGTAATTTGATTTGGGAGAGGAAGATGAGAAGGGGTATGAGAGTGTATGGTGTGTGAGCTTGAGAAAACAAAAACCTGTCCTCTTTTTAAGCCTGTAAATGTTTTATTTCACTGCATTTTTTTCTCTTTTTTCATTCATTTTCCCTTGACCTCCCCTCCTCTCACTCTTCCCTACTTGCGTTAACTGATTCTGGCTCTTTTTACATGAGTAGGAAATGGGCTGAGGACACATTGATCTGTTTTCTGAACAGTCAACAGGCGTGCAGGTTTGCATACGCTGTCTAATGCACACAGATAGACACTCATGCTACCTCTCTCTGTTGCTCTGAGTCAAACAAACATGCAACCAATCCATCCTTAAACACAGCAGCTCTAATTACTGCTGCACACAATCCATCTCTTTTGTCACCCCCCCCCTTCCCCAACCACCTCCAACAGTCTCCCCACCCACCACCTCTCTACATTTCACCTCAGCCCACAGGTGTTGGAAAAAATGTGTCTGCATGTATTTGTGTGTAACAAGGAGGTCAGTGTTGAGCATGTCGCTGTGAGGGAGTACAGTAAGGAGTGCTGCAATTGTCCAGTGAGAATGTGTTTTTTAGATGTTCTATTTTTAAAAAAAAAGGATGATGACAAATCACACTTGAGAGCAACATAATGACCTCTCATTTAGGGGGATGTCACAAAAGGAACCACAGAGGAGGGTAAAGAGGGAGATTGGTGAGGAGAGCACAAACGGGATATAGACTGCTGTGAAAGGCATCATTGGTGGAGTCTGATGTGGAGTCATTTGAATGGATTGTTCTTATCGTGTGCCCTGTGTTTTAAATTGAAACTCCAGATGACTTCCAGTGGATAGTCATCCACTAGTCTAGGCTAGTGTCTATATGTATATGTCTTTGGTTATTTGCACTGTTAAAGGTGAAAACATGGACGTAGATCAGTGTGTACTTAGTGCACTACTTGATTCCCTGTTCCACACTATTGATTGGCAGTTCTGTCAATGTCAGAAACAGCTACTCGTGTAAAGATTAAACCCTAAAACCTTAAGCATTTAAATTGGGACTGTCACAGTTAATGCTTTAATTCTCTGTCTTAATTTAAAATTAATGATATGTTAATTATATTTAATTGCATCCATCGTCGTTCCACTGTTTATCCCGCTGGGCATCTCGTGGGCATAATGAACTTTAAACAAAATTCAAACTCACTGTCATAGAGTCTATGTAACATTTATAAGACAGAAAAGCCCAGGCTCAAAAAAATATGAGCAATTAATTCGGGATTGCCAACTTACAGCTACCACTATCAGTGAGAATATTGACAGAGGCTGATGGCAGGGGTTACTAATATAATAATATAGTTACTAGATAGTGCTGATCTAATGATATAGATACAACAGTGTGCTCACTAGGGTGGCTGTGATGAAGGCTTAATTGAGTCAGTTTACAATTTCATGGTTATTTCCATACTTTTTTAGTTATTGTTTACTGTGTTCCTATTTTCATTATTCTGTTTGATTCTAAGGCTTTAGGTAATGTAAAGCAGTCCAACAGAAACTGGAAGAATATTTAAACTTAACTTTAACTTTAATTTTTTTTCCAAATAAAGTTTGTTGTTAAATGCATTGCCTCAGTCTATTGAACAATCTGTCTTTCTTTTTGCCAGCTGTCTTCTGAGAGAGGACAGCTGGCCTTAGATTAGTAGTTTATGATTTTGTCATCTGTCATCTACCACACGAAACATAACTTTAAGGACATTCAAATGTCATGCTAATGCATTTTGAGATTTCTCAATTACGGTGTTTTGTAGGCGATAACGTCAAATTAGCAACAGCACCAAATGATAACACCTTGGCAGCTGTGTCTTACTCTGTATTCTTGCCTTAATCACAGGGTTGACGCTACAATCTGAGATGCTAGCTTCTCTATATGGCAAATTTCCAACACAAGTGCCAGTCTACCAGCTGAAGGGTAGAAAAGTATACTGTGTAATTTTCCTTCCAGTGTAACAGTTCTGTCTCCATGTCAGAGGTAAATTGTCATTTGTAGTGATAAAGTTATGGTATGTCCATAAATGCACATATCTCTCCTGCTTTAGGGGCACTCATATGGATCTTGCTGGTCTGTAAAATGAAAGTAGCAGGAATTTAGGTTCAGAGAAGAGACTTGTACAAATAGACCTAAGATACAAGCCTGGATTACATTTGTAAATGTGAATGTTGTGGTGAAATCCTGATATTCACATTTTTTTGCTATGTTTAGAAAAAAATCTTTTCTCAGAAAAAAGTTCCCTCTTTTTTGGTGTATTAGATTAGTTTGGTTAGCAATCATGGACGTGAAACACACATCTCTATACATCTCTGCAAGCATAAATTAGTTACAAATAATAATAACATATAGCTATTAAATCCTACTTGTATTCTGTTTATATTTTGGCTTTACAGTGGACCAACCAGGAATTCTGTCATTTGGTGGCTGGAATTCCACACAAAAATTTCATGTTTCACTCTTTTTTTTTGCTAATTATGGCTCAAGAAACAATAGAATTTCAGTTTCACTATAAGCTGTAAGCAGGTGTAACATCTGGGTTCAATTACTATTTCAAACTAGTAATTTGAGAGTGTAAATCATATCTTCCTAATATCATCTGTTGTTGAGTGGATGAATGCTGACTGAGATCTATCGCTGCTATCACTATCAGTAAAGACATTTCGTTTGACGCTGTCACCACAGTAATGACAGCAACACATTATCAGACAGCAGATGATATGCAGTGAAAGTTATCAGGATACAAACTGCTTTGTCAGGTAACTGTCATTTGGAAGCAACTTGGAAATTACAGCTGTGAATTTGTTGCCAACAGCAGTGGCCAGAATGACAGAATGGATAGACATATTAACCCTTTAAAGCCGGTCGGAGCGGACACGCTCCATTTTGCGTAACTATTTTTAAATCCTGGTAGCTCTGCAATCACGTGAGCTAGCGCAATAATTTTTTTTTTCATATGAAACCGGAGGAGTTGTACTTACATCTTATGCCATCAGCTTGTCCTAGGTCACAGTTTCCTTCCACATATAGCTTTGCAAAAACTGCATAAAAAGCACTTGCAGCAACAAAAACATAATATTCCAGAAACACGCTTTGCCGATCCGATCAGCTGTTTGTAACACTTCCTACGTGAACTATCGCATGTCCGCCATGACCTGCGCGAAACCGGAAGTGACGTCATTTTGCGAAAATATAGTTTTTTACCATCGTGGCCTTATGAGCCTCTACTGGTGTTTTTAAAAGTTATCTTTGACTTTATGACTTTCTGTGTTGTTTCTGGGATGCTTAGAACTCATATTGCACTGCTCGAAATAGTTTGTTTTGATGCACATGCTGGGTTTTTTTTTTCTAATTTGCATTATAATATTTATTTTTGTTTTTCCTGCAGTATATGAAAATTGGTGTATTTCAAAAATAAAACTATGAAGACACTTAAAATAAATTTCCTGTGGTGGGAAACTATTTTGTGCAACTTTTTTGTATTTAAAGTTTTGAAGGATAAGCCTCTTAAATTTCTTTAACTAGAAATATATGTTAAAAAAACAAAAACAATTTTCAATTTTTTTGCAGTTTATTGCACTTTTTTGCAGTTTATGTTATTACTATGCACTTAATGCATACATATTATTAAATTTGGGCTGTAATGGTTGTATTGATGTATATCAACTTGAAATGCTCCCAAAAATGGCACTACAGCATGTAAAAATATAATATAAGCTCTGGCAGACTTGGTTCTATGGTAGGTCTTAAAGGGTTAAAGGAAAGCAAAGGATGGAGGAGGAAGGGAGTGAAATCTCAGACCTTGGCAAAGTCTGTGCCATGTTTTGCCAGTAATCTTTTAGCTGTTGTGTAAGGCCTTTGCCTCAACAAGCCCTAAGCTCTCTCTCTGTCATACACAGTGTGATTGTTTGCAGTTTTATTATTATACACAACAAAAATATACCTTCCATGCGTCTTTGCATGCAACAATGTGTTGATGAAACACATTCATGTGTGAGGACGCAGGAGCATTTGATGGCTAGATATTTGGCCCTTTCAGCATTTGTGTCGTGTTTAGATGGCGTTAAAGGAGATTGAGAGCACTGCCCCTCAGAGAACACCAATTAGAGTGAAGTAGGGCAATATGACACGTGACCTACACTTCAAAACAGTAACATCCACATATACACCAGCAGAGTGAACACTAAACCAAAAATGTATGAGCTGTTGAGTAGTTTTCCTGAGTAAGTGTGTGTGTGTGTGTGTGTGTGTTCCTAATCCTATTACTGATCAGGCAGTGCACTCTAAGGAGGCAAAAAAGGAAGAGCGAGGGGTGAAAAAAAATAGAGTTAATTGTGCTTCTTGATCCTGTCTGTTGGTTTTTACCACCTTTGGGGAGAGTTTCCTACTAAATTACATATATTAGTATATATGCATAATTTAAAGACTTGCCACTGCTGTCAATAACAGTGTTTTCTCATACTAAGGTTTACTTTCAATGACAGGAGTTAATTTTAGTGACAGATAAGTTGTTATTTAAGCACAAACTAATCATTGTTCCCTCATTTAAGTGTTTCTTCCAGCACTTACTCTGTACTTAGGTGTCACACTAAACTGATCTCCCAGCACTTTTAAGAGGGAGACATAAGAGGAAAGAGAAATGTGAAAGAAGGGAAGCGAGATTAAAAAAGGAAGTATGGTGATGGGGTCTCTGGTGTCACCATAGTGCAGACGGTTGGGTGGAGGATGGGGGTAGTTATACCCTGAGCACTAATACACAAAACCACACACACACATAGACACACACACGCACGCGCATTCAAGAACATACATTCTCAGTAAGATATTTATTAGCGACTAAGCTCTGTAGGCACCCATTATACGTATGCTTTTTATTTCATCATTCATTCCTTTCTTCTTCTTCTCCTCCTGCCTTTAGAGTCTGTTGGCAACCCCAAGGACTGCATGTTAAAAGTTTAGAAATGTGGCACAGCGTTCAGGGACAGTCCCTGGATTCCGAGGGTGCTTTTAATTATGCTAACTTATGCATCCTCAAGTCCTCTCCCCTCCCAAGACCCTAAATTGTTTCTCCTTTGTCACAATGAACGATCTTTCAAGTCCTTAATTGCATCTTGAGGAGAGAGAGAGCTTTTAAAAGGGCTGAGAGTGAGGAAACACATGTGTAACCCACAGAAGCCTTTTATCAAGTGCTGTGGTGAATAAATGCTGCACCTCCTTATGGGACCACAAACTATGTGTACTGCTGTTTTACTCACACGACTTTGTGTCGTCATGTATAAGCATTAACAGATAATATAAAAGATGATGTTGATTTACTGTAATCAAGTTGTGTATAAAAATCAATCCTATATATTCAAGAATAATTCACTTGCAAAGTGTTGTAGGATCACACAAAGCTGCAGATTTTTATTCATTTATTTTTTGTTTCTCTACTTTGAAATTGAAATGTACGTGTTCTAGCACAGCTGTGTTTTATTTTACTGTTTAAGGAACAATGTTGCAAGTAAATAAAAAGACTATCGCATCATCTCAAATAGCAGAAGATTATCATGTAGTCGGTTTGACAGGTGATCCAGTTTTGCAGCACACAGACTAACACAATGGAAGAATGGTTTGATCATTTGGCAGCTTCGGCGTCTCTGTCCTTGCATTTCTTACACATCTGTCACCACCATTGCTGCTATCAGGAGCTGAAAAACAACCAGCTTAATAAAAAAACATCCCTCGTGTTGTGTTTGAGGCTTGACCACGCCTGCACCGCCACTGGTTTAAAGTTGCAAAGTTTAAAACACGTGGATGACTTTTTAACAAATGACGTACTGCTGAACTTTGTGGCTTATGCTGAGACGTTTTGATTTTTATGAAAATGTTTTTGACGTTTTCCACAAAGTTGTCACTGATAAGCCGTAAACCCATGATAACCAAAGTTGACATATTTTTTTGATTTTTTGATTATTATTTAAAGGCAATAATCGGTCACAGTCAACTGAAATCAGCAGCAAGCTTACAAATGTTGTAGTGAGGTCATATCTCAGCAATGCTCAGAGCTATTACATCCAAACGTAAAGCACAGACCCGGGACCACATTGTGAAGACTGTCTGTTTCCTATGAGTGCTTAAAGTCACGTTTCTAACACGATCACATTAAGTTGCCATGGTGACTGTGCCCTGCTGAACCGCTTGCCCCCTTCGTTGCTGCTCACAGCTATGTTTTAATGAAGTTTTAATGAACTTTTAAGTTTTGTTTGCATACATGACTGAAAAAGTATCGTTGCTTATTAGAATGCAGGCAAGCACAAACACAAACCCTGCCACTTTTGATCAAATTAAAGCTGTCATCGCGTTAGATGCCATTCATCTTTCATCTTCAATTAGTCATCCATCATCCTTAATCTCTGTCTCGTGTCTCCTTTTCTGCCACCAACTCCGAAGGATAATTTCTCACAAATCCCGGTGGCAGAAATACCTGTTCTGAATGTTTACTGAACTCAGTGTAGCAGCAGAAGGAGGATCATAACAAAAACTATATGTAGTGTAACAAAACAAGGGCATATAAGGTAAAACATATTAGTGTTTACCAGTGTTTAAAAATGTTCTGGCCCTTTTGAGGCTCAGTGGTGTGATGATTATGTGGAGGGAGGATTTATTTAAAGACCACTTGAAGAAGTCAAATTGAACCTGGCAAAAAGAGTCGATGAAATCAACAAGAAAAATGATTGAAAATGCAACAGTAGTCCAGCTGGTGGAGAACATGAAGGAGGAAGAGTGTAGATTGACAAAATTTCACTTAATCAGCAAAGATTTCAACACTTTTAGGAACATATATAATATGCACAAACCTTAAAATAAATTCACATTTTCTTTCATGCCAGTAATTATTCATGTTTTCTTCAAGTTGATGCAGATCAGTTTCTGTATTTTTTTTCTCTGTTTTCTTCACCTTCATTGACCATTACCATTCTCAGTGCCTTCCCCCTCTCAGCCTCTGGATGTGGAAAGATCTGCTCTAAATTTCCCATGAATTTTCTGCTCTAATCCAGCTCGAGAGAGTTTTTCCTCAGTACTTTTCACACAGATTTAAAGCTAACTTGGGTAAAACTTTTTTTTTTTCTTTTTCATGCCTAGCCTCATCTTTCATGTCTGTCTTTCTCACAGAAGTCGCAGCTCCTTCTTCCACCTGCTCTGTCTCAGGACTCTTTCTATCTTCTATCGCTGACGCTTGATAATGCTAAACTCAGCGTGTGTCTATGTGTACTCAGCTTGGGCCATATTTCAAGTTAAGTGCATGAACTGATGACCCTCACAAACATGAAACATTCAAACTCTATTTCGTTTTTGCTTAACGATTTTTAGACAACATCACATGTTATCACACTATAAAGCCCCTTTGTGGTGATATTAAGGTTGACCACATCACTGAACTTTTGTCTGAACTGCTTTTTTTTTCTTCTTCTTGCTTTTGTTGATGTTTAAAAGGTTTTCGTCTCTTTATCTTTTCAACAAGTAAATCAGATGAACTATGTTAAAATGAATTTTTACTGAAGTTCATTGTACCTTTTCTCATTTGTTGTTATCAGAAAGTCTGAGCGGTTTAGTTCTGTATTTGTTATTTGGAGTGATCGAGTCATTCGGAAGGTATTTCTTTTTAATTTCACCTTGTGGCAGGGTGCCACGATGTAAACTATAGAATGTAATTTAGAAACTACAGACACTGCCAGCCTTCCTGGCAATGATTGGGTTTGGTTATAGTGATTATGATCATCTGAAAATTCCATGGTAATAACGAGCTGTTGATGCACACAGTTTAATTTCTGTTTAACTATGCGTCAGTCTTGGTGCAGTATGGATAACCTTAAGTGACTCAAAAGCACCCTGCAATAGATTGCTGACCTGTTCTGGGTGTACAGTAACACACCCCTCACCTTATGAAACTGGAATAGTCTCCAGCCCCCAAGCAAAAACTGAAATGGATAAGTGGTTTAGAAAATAGATGGATGTATGGATGGATGATTCAGTTTTCGGCTTAAGATGTGTAGCTCTCAGGCTAAGAGTAATGGGTTATCTCTTTCTTTCTTTTTCTTTTTACACACTTTACCTCTGTAGTCGAGGGTTGTTGCCTGCATGACAGCTATTCTAAGTCAGATGGATGATCGACACTATTCTACATACATCGAAACCTTCAGTGGAACTACTGATCTAGTGGTAAGTGCCTCACACACATATCCGCAGATGGCAGAAAACTGGATTTTGTAAAAACTGGAGTGTTTATTGAGCCTTCTGACAAATAATAAAAAAAAGAAATTAAGTAACTGTTTGGACATATAAGTTTTAATTTGTATCATTTTTGCTATATCTGTCATTTTTGTGCAGCAAAATGTCTCATTTTCCTATCAAAGTATAAATGAAGGGTGGCTCAAGACTTTGCATATTGCTGTGTAGTACAGTTCTATATTCTCATTTATCTCTTGTTCTTCTTGTCTTCTTCTACTGCAGGACTTCCTAATGGAGTCCTTCCTCCTTTTCAAGGACTTGATTGGGAAACATGTGTATCCGTCTGACTGGATGGCCATGATCATGGTACAGAACAGGTAACATATTGCAGATATGTACACACACATGCACAGAACCAGTTTGAAAGTCTTCTCTTACATGGTTCTACATGTGTTTGCCCATGAGCTACAGCTTATGCATTTAAAAAGTCGACATCAACAGTCGACTGGTTCATCCACATGAACCCACACAGGGATAAGTTAGCGATAGGAAAGCTGGGATCAAGGCTGCAATGATGAAAACGGCTGATGTGGCAAATATGACTGTGTGTGAGCCGATGGAGTGAAAGCTATCAGTGTTTTTTGTGATGTAAGCTAAAGGGAGGCTAAAGCTGTGTCAGACGAAAAGGCAAATAGGAAAAATTGAAAATGAGGTACAGGAAAAGGCAGTTTGATAAGGAGTCTGCAGACCGGGGTTAGAATGAAGATGTGCAGATATAGAAAGAAAAGCCTACTTAAAAGAAAATGAAAGAAGGAGGGGGAATGAGAAGGAATGGCATTTGGCTCTGTATAATGGTGATAGATAGACAGTGTTGAAGCAGAGGGAGCCTGAGAGTAGTTTTGCTACTTAACTTTAGAAATCCATAAGGCCATATCGCGCCAATACACCTGCACACTTTGTTAACTTGCGATCATGATCTATCACTGTGACAGAAGATTTGAATTGAATGCGATATTGCATTTTTTTGTCTGGAATAACAGTTTAAAGCTGTGGCTTTAAGCTCTAGAGCTAAATTCTTTGATAAACAAAAAATAAGCTGCATTGTGGTTTTTTAAAGAATCCCATCCTTTTATTCGTTTTTTACTCGTATTCTCCTTTTTTTAACATTCAGTTTGATCAAACACAGCCACAGCAAAGTTTACTTCATTGACATGTCTTTTTGATTTATTTTTTTATATCTGTTCATTAGGGTGTTCCTAAGAGCCATCAATACATATGCTGACACTATGAAAGAAAAGTTCCTTAATAACGATGACTTTGAAGTCCAGGTAACTGTATTTTTATGTGCAATATTTCCGAGCTTTGTCTCATATTGATGCCATCCTTCTTATTGTGTCTGAATCCCCTTAAATGCTATCTTTCTCTGCATCCCCTCCCTTCCTCACTCTTCCTCACTGTCTAGTTGTGGAATAACTACTTCCACTTGGCAGTTGCGTTTATTACCCAGGAGTCCCTGCAGCTTCAACATTTCTCACCAACCAAGAGGAACAAGATTCTGGCCAAGTGAGAGAAGAGCTATTTAATTTCCCAATTTACCACACCTACTCTCCCCACTGATTTGTGGTCTATTTAGGATTCTTTGTTTGCTGTCTAAACTCCACTACTTATTAAAAGTGTGTGTTACCTGTAGATAGGCATTTAATTTAGATCAAGTTGAGTAAGAGTAGGTGAGCATTATCTTTTCCACTCAGTAATAACAGTATTGATTAGGACACTGCTTCCAAACTAACATTCTAATGTCTTCTTTTTTCTCTTTCTGTGTATTTTTCCTTCCTTATTGTCCCACACTCTGAATTCCAGATATGGAGATATGAGAAGGCTTATTGGCTTTGCAATCCGTGACATCTGGTATAAACTAGGTAAGAACTATACTGTAATGTGTAGTTTTTCTTCTTCATAAACTGTGGATAGAAAGGTTCATGAGTCAGCAGCGTTTCACACTGACAGACACCAATCTGAATATATCAGTGCACTAAAAATATCACAGTTTTCTGTGGTGTGTACAGAAGAGTAGGGTTATATCCTGCACAGAGCTAAAGCTCTTACTGTAGAAGAAAAATACTTCTTGTATTTGCCAGACAGAGACCTGTAGTGTTACCTGAGGGTGAGTGAAAAATGCTGTGTCTGCATATACGAGCAATTACGTGTGTTTATTTCTATGTGTGTGTTTTTTCAGGCAGTCATAAAATCTGTTTCATCCCCGGCATGGTGGGTCCCATCCTGGAGATGACTTTGATCCCTGAGGAAGAGCTGAGAAGGGCCACTATTCCCATCTTCTTTGACATGATCACCTGTGAACATGCACGTTTTGGAAACTTCAGCAAGGTACACACATATAGGAACACAAGCAATTAGTATACATACTAAACTTAAGACAGTCGAGCCATTTAAAAAGTAATCGTGATACAAAAAATACTTAAATAAATCTTATATATTGCAGACTTTGATGCATTTGTATCTATGAATACATGCTAAAATTAAAAGAAGAGACAAGGAAAACAAATGAAATAGAAAAACTATAACTGTGGCACATACACATTGTGCTCCCGCATTGATTTCCTGTAATGCAGCAGATAAAAGTAAAAGAGACACCTTAATTATGCTTGCATGCATAATTGATTTCCACTTCTGTTGCTCCCGTCTTTTGCTTCTTAATCTACCTTTTGTCCCACTCTTTGCTTTCCCATTTTCAGTGCTGTTCTTTATGCTATTAATCAAGCTCTGAGTGATAAATGTCCTTTTGTTCTGATACCGAAAATATTTTGCCCTGTTACTTGGACTGTATGCACATAGCACTATTGTGAGGTGTTACCCAAGCGAACACTTATTCTTTGTTTTAAATACAAAAGGACAAACAAAGATCACTCATTAGGTAGGCAGGGAGAGGGAATCTGATGACTCAGTAGATAGTGATGCAAAGTTGTTTGATGTTTACCCTGAAAGAGAAAGCCTGAAAAACAATTGATAAAAAGAATAAAAGATGTGATATGAGCATACGATGACGCTCCAGAGCTTTGTAATTTGTTATCTGTCTGCCTTCTAAGGATGTTGGTATATTAAGAATAGAATACAATAGAATATAATAGTTACTTTAAAAAAATAATAATAAAATCTTCGGCAGTTTGAGAATGAGATCATTCTGAAGTTGGACCATGAGGTGGAGGGTGGTGGAGGAGATGAACGCTACATGCAGCTACTGGAGAGCATGTAAGTATTGTAGTTTTTTTCACTATACACAATCGATTTCCTGCTAACTCTCATGAGCAGCATTTCAGACTTGGCTCTGGTCTTCTGCCAGTACATTAATAGACAAACTGAATAACCCTGAATAACAAGGTAAAACCCTCTCAGAGGTCTCTGATGATTAACTTGTGGAAGCATGTCTGCCAGATTGCTGGACTGTGCTGCTGAGAAACCCACGCTGAGGCCACAGGTGCAGCACTTTGTCTCCTTGGTGAAGGGGCTCCTCATTCGTCTCCTTGACTACCGCACCGTGATGAGCGATGACAGCCGCAACAACCGCATGAGCTGCACAGTCAATCTTCTGGTAAGAACCACCTTCTTTGAAATCAGCTGGCAAAGTTGCCAGCGCTTGAAAGTCTTGTTAGCATCATCATCATTAGCTTTCTAGTGTCTAAGTGTGATATGTTTGTGTCATCATGGATTAGCATTTATTGCTACTTACCTTGTGATTCTTGCAATATACAGTGCCTTGTTGGTGTAGTGTCTCATAGCAAAGAGTTGCTGATCTTAGATGTACGCACATCAACACCAATAAATCCATTAGTAATTGAAAAGACAATATAATGTGAAACTTTGTTTTATATAGAATCCAAACCAGCCAAGAGTTTATTATGAAACACAGATTTTATTTCTTGTCGTATGTGCCAAGGCCTTTTTTCTTTTCCCCCATTTAATTTGGGTGCTGATTGATCTAAAGGCAAAGATTCATCTCCTTGTCTGGTCTCCTACATTTTGCAGTGGGTTGCATCAGCTCCTGTCTGTTCCACATCTTTTCTCTTATGTGATCTCCTAATCAGATTCTCCCCCACAGTATTCTTAGGTTTAGTAATGGATGCCATCTACCCACCATATGATCTTTTCCACGCCAGATTAAATCGTATGATACCTCAGCAAAACTCTTTTCCTTTCATTTCCAAGATGCAAACATTTAAAAAATCATAATTCGACAGATGGATGCATCTGTGTTTGAATAATAATGTAGAATAACTCTTTATCCCCCACCCCCAAGGTGGAGGCTGCTGGTACATGGCAGGAGTGTTTAGTTTGTAGCCTGTGGCAGTTGCCCATTAGCTATTCTGTTTCATTCATTTGGCCAACTGAAAAAAATCCCCTCTGCCCACAAGCAGGCACTAGTGCACTCCCCTAACCGTACCCCCCAGGCTAACTTTACTAAGGAATTATACACACAGGCACAGTCACACGCATATTTATTCTGCTCTTTCATGTAGATGAACTATCAAAACAAAACAAACTTATTTGAACATAAGAAGTACTCTCAAAAGGTTTGCAGTACATCATTTTGGTTTCATTTTTCTTTTTCGTTGTTACAGATATTAACTCAGTACACATACTGTACACTATATCTACAATATACTAAGCATACATATGTGTAGATTTTTTTTAAACAACTCTCAGTTGCTGTATTGTTCTCTATAAAAGATAGAAAGTGATGCTGTAGTTCTACTGAAAGTTGTGTTGCTATAGATTTAAAAGACAGGTGGACTGCTGCAAATCTTTACTTGTCTTCTTGATGGGCACCCTATATAAACATGTTAGCTCCCTAAATTTAAAATTCATTGTCCAATAAATAATAAATCTTACCCTTGACAATATAAAATGGTTCGATGGTATACTGTGGAAAAATTAACTATAATTTGTCACATTTGTGATTATGTGTCTGTTGGTGCTGTTGTGTGTATTGGCCTGTGCTAGTGATGGGAGGTGAGGTTACATCAGTTCGTTCCACTCCTCTGTTCACTGTAGATATCATTAAACTTAATTAAACTGGGAGTTTGTGCAGTTTATCTCGCACACTTGAAAACACACACGCTCCCACATTAAAGCACAAGCAATCAGTATTATAGTATAGTACTGTAGTATAGTATAAAATAGGATAGTGTAATGTGGTATAGTGTTGTGTTGTAGTGTAGTGTACAGTATAGTATACATATTATTGGATAGTATAGTGTGATACAGCATGTTATGGTGTATAATATAGTATAATATAAACGTGGAATTAATAGCATAGTTTCAAAACCTCTATCAGTTATATATGCATATGCATGCGAACACAGGCATACATACACACAGAAACTACACTAACCAACCCCTCCTTCTGTCTTTGCAGAACTTTTACAAGGACATCAATCGTGAAGCGATGTATATCAGGTATTTACTTGCTGGATTTAACTTAAATGGTGCATATCTGTGTTGTACGCATGTCTGTGCATGTCTGTGCATGTCTGTGTGTGTGTGTGTGTGTGTCTCTATAATCTGACAAGGGATTATATGAGTTCCACTGAATTAATGTCAAAATCCACAGGATCAGCTCGGCCTGACTGGAGGGAGAGAGAGACATGATGAGTGTGAGGGAGGGAGAGGTGGAGAGACAGGGAGAGACAGAACCATTTGAAAGAGAGCGAGAGAATGAGCGGGACAGACAGGAAAGAGAGGAGGAGAGGAAGTACAGATCTAGTCAGGTCCCGCAGTGCACTTCTGAGTATGGCTTTTAGACAAATTAGTTATCTGTATGTGTGAATGTGAGTGAAAGTCAGTGGTTGATCAACTGCCTTGTCAGCTCTGTGGATAATACAGTAACATTTAGCTGGCTGGTTTATTGGTGTCAGCCAACAAATATATTTTAATGCAAATAGACAATTTATGTCTGTGTTATATAATTAGTCACAATGTAATGGTGCGCTTACATAACAGTGGATAATGAAACCCAAAACTAATTAAAATTCCCTTTGTGCTGCTGCGTACAACCCAAATCAGCCACAATGATGAAGCACATGATCAAGCTTCAGATTTAAACTCTGTCATCATTTCAGAATCCTATGAAAGAAAATATGAAATTAAACTGCACTGGACTCACCTCGCTGTTTTGGTTCGCATCCCTGGTGCATATGATAATGTCTTTTTCTCTAAACGCAGTACGTTGAAAACTGAATCTGCTCCCTTCGCCAAGTTTCATTCTGCTATACATACACGTAGTGCTATTCGCTATATGTGCTACATACTAGTCACTGAAGCTTGTAGCTTTCTGTAATTTCTTTTTCTTTGTGTAGCTGTCTCATAAGAATGTGAGACACCTAGACAATTCTACCACATAGGAGCTGTGAGCAATGCATCCATTCCCTTTGTAATAGAATAGAAATGTTGATGTCCTATTGATATTTTACAGGGTTTTTGTTTTGTTTTTTTACAGCATGAAGATACTGCTAAACACTCATAACCTTTATTATGGAAATAGGACACTTCTTATATTGTTCTATTCAAGGTGCAAACAACAAGATGAAACTTACTTATTTGTATCAAACAAAACCGAGTATAGAAGAATAAAAAAGATGCCTCCTGCTAAATTTGGATCATCAAAACCCTTTCAGTTTTGAAACGTGCAGGTAAAATGAAGCTAGAGAAAGTGAAAAACAGGATGCCAGACAACAAATGAGATGAATACACGACTCTAAAATAATAGTCAAACAGATTGAGTAATTAATGTAAGTTGCAAATGACTTGGGAGTGAAACTTTTCAGTTTTTTTGTTCCCTTTTCTGTTTGATTTCACATCCAATGACTGGACTGTCATAAACAACTTACAGCCAGATACATTTCCAACCAGAAAATTGTTATATCTGAAAGTGTGAGAAAGGAAATAGCAGGTGTGACATAAAAAAAGAATAAAAAACAAGGAAAGTGAGACTGTCAACATTTAGGCAGACAAAATAAGCGGTTGTCCTGTGAGCCAACACCTTACTTTGCAAGCAGATATGGGACTGTTCATTTAAAAGCATCCAGAAAACATTTCTTTTCCTACTTTGTCATCAGTGCTTTAGCAACAAAGTCCAGCCTCTGGCCATGTGGAGAAAGTTTGTCTTGACAGATGCAAGATATAGATACAACAAAACAGATCAAAACTAAAAGCAGTAGCAGTAAAAGCCAGTCCTCCAGGTGACAAGAAGTAATCCCATTTTTCCCCTTGTCGGGCCTATAAAACATTATAGGCCTACAAGCATCTGTCAGACCATTATAAGACATATGCTAAATTGTGCTCTTTTGTGTGTGTGTGTGTGTGTGTGTGTGTGTGTGTGTGTGTGTGTGTGTGTGTGTGTGTGTGTGTGTGTGTGTGTGTGTGTGTGTGTG